TATTCCTTATACATCATGTCATAGATAAACAGATATATTGGTTTGACGATCCTATTCAGAATGGCCGAATGGTGTTCATTTTTGTGCTAAAAAATCATCAAATATCAAGCATTTCTGGATGGATTTCATTCAAACTTGGTACATATATTAGACATTACAGGTTCCTGATGCACATCATATTTTTTTCAGATCTGATTCAAAATGGCTGGCTGGCGGCCATTTTGTTTTAATGATTGGGCTTCTAGAGCCATACCTCTTAAAGGAAAGGTCAATCCTGTCAATATTGTTGGCCATATAGCAGCAGTTATGTACACTTATTTAAATAATGGACAAAACAAATAAAAAAAATTAAAAATTAATAGAGTTATGATACCATATAATATTCCATATAGTCGCCGCCATTTTGGCAATTTTCAAGCGCCCTCTATTGGGTCAGACGAGAATGCGAGCAGGATTTATTTGTGCACTGTGACGTCAAAGGCTAGGTTAATTAGTGTCCAACTTAGAGGGTCACACAATGTATAATGGGAGAGAAAAGTAATCACTTAGAGAGTCATAATTCATCGTGCAACTTTCAAGTAAGTGATGGCCGTCTGCAAATACACTACTCATTTTGCCCAATCTTCCGCTTTTACAAAATAGAATTCCCTTCTATCGACTATCAACATTCTAACATGTTTGTATTTTCTGCTGTGACAAAGCAAGAGTATTTTTGCACCCCAGTTTTGCTACTTCCGGGAAAGTAGTATATCGACTGCTTACTGGTTAATTTCCGACCGTGCGGTTTTGTCCGACGGGAAACCGACCACATTTTAATCGTTTTTTTTAGCTCGCTGGCTCACTCATTGAAAACACCGTCCGCTCGCCCAAACACTGATCACTGATACATGAGTGGTCGAAATTGTGGTTTTGATAGTAAAGTATGAAAATACTATTATTAAATTTCGAACGACACTTCAAATCTATAGTTGTACGACACTTGTATCGTTCGAGAAAGCAACTGCACTGGAACCTTCTGTTAGGAGAAACGAGAAGATTATTAATGATTAATTCCAAAAATAACGATACCAAAACCACATTGGCATTTGACATTCAATTTTCAAAATTAAGTCACGATCAGTGTCGTAAATTATTCCCACAATATAATAATTTCGAATAAAACGGCCACATGCCCTGAAAAAATCGTACAGAGCTTGACATGTATGAATAACTTATTCGGCTTCAGAAAAAAAACGTGTCAAATTTAATTATTGTCATAAATATTTGGTGACCAGTCGATGAACAATTCGAAACTCAGGATTCACACGCGAAAGTCCTTCGATACTGAAAATCATTGACCCTACTCTGGTTTACCTTATTTCACAACTTGCAAATAAAACTGATTCGCCGTGAACTCTAATATATCTCAGCCTATTTTTTTAGTCCCCGCAGTCCGAAAACGAGGACTTATGTTTTTACCTCCGTGTGTCCTTGCGTGTGTGCGTTCGTCTGTGCGTGCGTCCGGACCTGTATCTTAGAAATGCCTGGACCAATCACAATCAAACTTCCTTAGTTATTGACTGGACATAAGTGAGAGATTATGGTTACTTCCTTAGTAACCGGGAACCGCACGACTGAGTTTATTGTGGCAGCTACTGCAATTTTTAATGTAGGCCAGCTGTGATCAGTTTGAATCGCTGCGTGCTTTCTACACAATGTCCAAGTTTCCGACAACGATCATATATATATATATATATGCGGTAATAGAGGAATTAATACACAACTACATGAATATTGAAACTCGACAGCACTGTTTCGTAAGGTACAAGTACCTCACTCATCAGGAGCTTTATGTTTAATTCACTGCACCAACGAGCATACATATACTTCGCAAATTAACAATTAAAAATAAAAAACATACAGGTTTAAGTGTTACATAATAAGGCTTTTGATCTGTGTCGGCATGATGATACGAGTTCATTTCTTTTGTTTAGTGTGGAGTGGTGAGGTCTAAAAATTATTATAAATTTTCCTTCAAACATAGAATGCATCGTTTGCTGGAGCTACTGTACGGGCTACCACGAGCAAAAATTTTCCATGTTATTCTGTGCTCAATATTTTTTTCTTTGAGTGACCAAACATGTTTACTTAGTTCTGTCGCATTTCTAGAGGCCTGATTATGAAATGAGACAGTGTGGTTTCTGTACCTTGTTTTGAATTCATTTCCAGTGAGACCGACGTACGTTTCGCTAGTTTGTTTGTCTAAGCGCGTAACTTCCGCTTGGTATATCACACCGGACTGCAAACACTTCCCGTCCAGTGGACATGCCGTTTTTTTCTGACAATTGCATAGTTTGTTGACTTTCGTTTTATCAGTTGTGGTGCTCTTATCAGTCGCGAGTTGCCGTTTGTTTTTACTGTTGATGGTATCTTTTACACCGTGGCGCCACCCTACAAAAGAGCTCTACATGAAAGCGGCTACAAACACCAATTAAAGTTTGAGTCCCCCACCGAGAAGGGTAAAAAAAACCGGCCACGCA